GTGTTATTAAGTCATGTACATTTAAAAGTAATGTGTTATTAAATAATGTATATTAAAAGTAATGTGTTATTAAGTAATGTATAATTGCGTAACCCTCCATTCTGTGTAATTTCCGTTTCTGTATTACTTACAGGTGAACATTATGCTAGGAATGAATGCTATGGTAATCTCAACTTATCCCACTACATCAGATGTAGAACTTATATTTCATTCTATAAACCTGTACCTGAGTGGAATCTGTCAATATCTGGTAGTAGGAGAAGATCCCGTCACCATCTGGACCAGTCTTGCTGCTCTCCGTGTTGAAAAGATGGAGTTCGACACACTGGATGGACAGAGACTGACCTTAGCTTCCGTAAACACTAACCAAAGTAATCAATTGGTAGGTTTTTTAATTGTATTCTTAGAGCCTGTTCTGCCCCTCAACTGTGTTTAGAACTCTGTGAATCGAGTCTCCTAACCACAAGATCACCTTGGAAACAGCTGCTGGTTCGAATCCCTTATCCTGACATGCTCGCCCTTTCAGCCGTGTGGGTGTTATAAGGTGATAGTCAATCCCACTATTCGTTGGTAAAGTAGTAACCCAAGAGTTGGCAGTAGGTGGTGTTAACAAGCTGCCCTCCCTCTTGTCTATCACTTCTAAATTAGGGACAGCTCGTGCTGATAGCTCTCGAGGTAACTTTGCGTGAAATGAAAGAAAAAACAACCACAAAAACAAGTTTTCCACAAGTCATTTAGCTTTCCATAGCTCTTTGAAATACTTTTTTCTTTATAATTGTGTGCATATTAGATAGAAAAGTGGACAATTACTTTCAATTTGAAACATTTAATTTCTGATGCCATTAGCGGCAATAAAAATTAAACAGGCCTTGTTCGCTTAGCCTTATTCAATTCCTCTTCTTAATGAATTATCTTCTTCAAATTAGTCTTTTGTCCGAACTCCTTTGTATGGTTGTGTTTACATAATTCAGAATATTGTTCCTTGACTCATCCTTTCTCTGAATGGTAGTGCTGCCCTCTATATTATTACATAGTATTAATCTATTAAAAATAGCTTGGCCTGACGAAACAACTGGCGTTCGTACTTAAGCAGCGATTTATGGCCGTAGCGCAGATGAATTGCTGAGAAAAGAAGAAACACAGATAAAGAGGAAAGACATTCTCTCTTTATCTCTTCATTTAATAAGTTAACTAAATAAAATAAAATAATTTTGTCTCGCGGCTGTGCATGTATTACCGCAGTGATGATCTAGCCTTTGTGGACTTTCCAGAAATATCATGTCGTTAAATATATTTTTTCATACAATCTATATTTTCAAGACCTTCAAGAAAATTGTGCGAAATACTAAAAATAATGTTGAAAATATATTAAAGGAGAAAGGTCTTCCAATAACATTATACTGAGTCCTCTTTTAATATTAAACATTAAATGACGAAAAAAATAATTTGTTTTCACTTATTCCTTCAGAAAGATAATATCTGGTTGATTGACTTGAAACTATTAAATATTGGATTCCACTGTTTGGTTTTAGATACTTCTTGGAAATGACATCATCCATACCTATCGTACGTGGTCATGTGACTCGGGCACGTGTTACGGCGCATGCGTTGGTTCAGCAGAGGTCGCTCTAGCCCCAGCAGCTGTAATTGGAGGAAGTGTCCTCTTGGGACCTTTGACACAGATCCAACTTTTTAATCCAAAAACTGGTCAACCGATGATTGTACAAGACCTAACATCACCAGTGACTGTAACAGTACCAGTTGAAAATGTTGACATTGGAAGTGGCCAAGTTATACAGGTTAGTATTAAACATGTAGTATTTCATTAAGGACTGGTCAACAGATGATTGTAGATGACCTCACATCACCCATAACTGTAACAATCCCAGTTGAAAATGTTGAAATAGAAAGTGGTCAATTTATAAAGGTTAGTATTAGACACGTGGTATTTCATCAAGGACTGGTCAACAGATGATTGTAGAAGACCTCATATCATCAGTGACTGTAACAGTATCAATTCAAAACGTTGAGATTGGAAGTGGTCAAGTTATAGAAGTGGAAAGTTGTTTAAAAATGTTCCAGAAATACAGGAACGATCTCAGACCGTAATGTAAGAATTTAATATTTTTCTTCTTTTTATATGTATATTATGAAAAATTCCGTCACGTAGAACGTAAGTTTCAATTTATTTTCTCACGTTCCTGTCTTCATAGAACATTAAATATCGCAGTACATACAGTATACTAGATTATAACATGTCTGTAGTACATGCAATATCTTAATTATAACATGTCTATAGTACATAGAATATCTAGATTATAACATGTCTGTAGTACATGCAATATCTTAATTATAACATGTCTATAGTACATAGAATATCCTAGATTATAACAT